TGGGTCGATTCACAATCAAATTAAACAATTCTCAACTCGATAAAATATTATAACGACAAAATAAACAATATTTTAATTCTATAACAGTTTTTAACAACAATTGTTAAAAATGTTGTTAATAAACAAAAAATTCGAAGATAACTTATCGACAAATATTCTTCAATATTGAACATGCCTTGGTTTGTTCATAATTGGTATGTAAGTAGTTTTCAAAATGTTCCAAATTAAACGCTTTTTCAAAGTTTATCGACAATTTGTCTACATTTTTACAAAATAACATGTTCGTTACTGCAAACGATTTTATGTGTAGACAAAATTGTCGAGTGTCGGATCGGTTTAAGTTACTAAATCGACCTACTGGTGTTTGTGAGGTATTTTTCGTTCCAATTGACGAAAAATCAGTATTGGCAAAGTGTTTCAAATATTTAGTAAAACAAATAACAAATAAATGGAAATTCAGGTGAAATCATTACACTTTTTTTAAGGATATACTTATATTTTAGGTTGGGAAAAAATAAATCCATTATTTTTCGTTGAAAATGTCGATAAAATCTGAGAAATTATCGAAGTTGACCAGCATAAAAAAACCCGAATTTCCATCTGCGAAGCCTTGGCCAAATTCAGAGAAATGAATCACATACGATAATCCTGTACGAAAACGATCGTGGTCAAAGAGCGGCAAAGAACCTCAAACGGTGTCCAGGACGGTTCTGGTATGCATTTGTTGGGACTGGAAGGGGATTATTTATTATGAGTTGCTTCCATATGGCAAAATGCTATGTTCTGATTTCTACTGTCAACAACTGGACCGTTTGAAGATAGAAATTGACCAGAAACGGCCAGAATTGGTTAACAGGAGAGGTGTCGTGTTCCACCAGGACAATGCTAGGCCACACAAATCTACAGTGACTCGCTAAACACTTCGGGAGTTTTATTGGGAAGTTTTAATACACCCACCATGTCTGGGCTTGGCAACAGGCGGTTATCATATTTTTCTTGCATTGCAAAATTTCTTTAATGACAAAAAAAATGGTATCTAGGGAGGATTGTGCAAATCGACTACTGGAGTTTTTTGGAAATAGAGAGCAGGACTTCTATGAGAGAGTTGTTGGGTTCTAATTGGGTAGCAATATTCCTCCCAAAATGTCTACATATAGATCAACATTTTAGGGTAGCTCCATAAAACGGTTACTTCGGAATTTGTGGTATAGATAGTACACTTTATTTACCGCATTTGCTGTAATTTAATATTTTGGATTTTCATCAGGTAGAAAAACTTCCCATAAATAAAACTTATCAATATTGGTCCTCTTTGCATGTCCCTCAGTATTATATTTCACATAGGCCTTATGTAAGTATTCTAATCTTCCCTCCTACAATATCCCCCATATAAAAGCCCGATCGACTGAAAGTATTTTTGAATGTCCACCTCATAGTGGAGGTTATTAAATGTTATCTCCTGACTAACATAACGAAGTTTTCACTTTATTCATCTCATAGGTGTCAAGGGTCTCAAGTTACTCATTATTCGAACTACAATGGACTGCATTCTAATATATGTTGTCTTAGTCCGTCAATTTTATTAGTCACATTCATCCACAGCTTAGTGAATTTGTTTGGATTCTTTTGAACCATAAAATGTTATATAAACCTTAATAAAAGCTGTGATGAACATCTCAAAAAGACGGCATGACTTTGAATTACAACTACTCCACTAATAGGCTGGTGCTGACCTACCTAAAAAAAACAAAACTGTATATTTTTTCTCTCACCATTTGACCAAATAGATACCGCTGCTGCTGCCGCGAAATATAATATTCCCATTAATTTGTCAAACAAGTTTTTTTATAATTTATTACACATCAATTTATAATTTCCGTAAAATATCGTTTTGAAAACCATGTGCTAAATGTTTTTATTATCATAGGCATAGCTAGGTTTACTATTTCGATATTGGTTCGATTTTTTTCGTTCTAGCATTTCCGGACAAGAAAGCGAGTCACAAAACATGATTTTAGTGTAAAACAAAAACCACAATCGTTTTTGTTTTTTATTATTTTTATATATGCAAATTAAATTGTAAAATTGACTTATGAAGTCTTTGTTTTTTATTCATCTCAAACTTGTTCGATTAGTAAAGGTTGTAATATTTTCATAAAAAGCAGATGTGCTTTTTGTTTTTCATGTAAATTCGTGTTGTTATGATAATTTGTATGCATTTATTGCGGATTGGATTGATATCTAGTTAATGCGATTGATTACAAGTCTTAGTTGCAATACAAAATGTGATTAGGTTAATATGTAACATATATGGTAATGGTGTTGAATGGATTTGAATGACATACCTGTGTGGGTCTCAATTTCATTGAATAACTGTTTAGTGTTGACCCAGTTTTTTTATTACATTTTTATATCCTCTACTACAAGATGGAGTGTATATTAAATTTATCATTCCGTTTGCAAGAGCGCTTCTAATATTTAAGATAGAACATACATTACTAATACACCTAGGATGTTTGGTATGGAATATGTCGGTCCACTATTTAGGATAGCCTTCGTATAGAGATAAACCCCAATATTCGGTATTTGGACAAGTTTTTCAAGCGAATTGGTTCTAATTTGATATAAGGGATTCTCATTGAGCAAAAAATCTCCCTACCAAAAATTATAAATATTGTTCATGTAATGGTACTCCCATTTATTAGTATTTTGAGGAGTTTCATCACGTGTTTCGACCAAATTGCCTGTAATTTTATATTTTGGATGATCATTGAGTCGAAAAGCTCCCTATTAAAAATTATAAGTATTGTACCAAGTTTCCGTTATTACTTCCATTATTCGGTATATAGGGTGTTTGGACACATTGGTGCACCAAAGTCCCTAAATATAATTCGATTTGCACGAAATTTGGCATAGAGTACTGAGTTAGGTCCAGAATGATGTGTGCCAAGTTTCGAGAAAATCGGTTAAGATTTAGATATAGCTCCCATATATAGTTTCGTCCGATTTAAGGTAAATGGTGCCCCAAAGTCCTTATATATCATTCGATTTGCACGAAATTTGGCATAGAGTAATGAATTAGGTGCAGAATGATGTGTGCCAAGTTTCGAGAAAATCGGTTCAGATTTAGATATAGCTCCCATATATAGTTTCGTCCGATTTAAGGTAAATGGTGCCCCAAAGTCCCTATATATCATTCGATTTGCACGAAAATTGGCATAGAGTAACGAATTAGGTGCAGAATGATGTGTGCCAAGTTTCGAGAAAATCGGTTCAGATTTAGATATAGCTCCCATATATAGTTTCGTCCGATTTAAGGTAAATGGAGCACCAAAGTCCCTATATATATTTCGATATGCACGAAATTTGACATAGAGTACTGAATTAAGTCCAGAATGATGTGTGCTAAGTTTCGTGAAAATCGGTTCAGATTTAGATATAGCTCCCATATATAGTTTTATCCGATTCTATGTAAATGGTGCACCAAAGTTCCTAAGTTTCGGAAAAATCGGTTCTGGTTTAGATATAGCTGCCACATATTCATATATATTCGTCCGATTTTACATAAATGGTGCACCAACCTTTTAATGTTGGTTCGATTAACACGATTTTTTGCACAACGTATCAAGTTGGAACTTGAATAACGTTATTGCGTTATGTTGAAATTGATGTAGATGCTGTCATAGCTTCCATATGTATTTTGAATGGATGTCTAAATGAAATTAAAATTGTAACAGTGCGGCGAGCGAATAGCATGTATTAATTTTGCTATAAGTCGTTTTTCATAAATTTGCCCCATGGTACGAAGTCGACTTTAAATCTACCCGAATGAAATTAAATTTATCATAGGTTGCAGAAAGAGGAGGGGATACATATGTACAATATACCCAAAGTGGTGAAGGGTATCATATAGTCGGCCCAGTCCGAGTTTACTGCTTTCCTTACTGGTTTCGTTTTGTGTTCATTTTACGAATGAATTTATGGCGATGAATTCTTTACCAAAGGAACAGTCGCCAAAGAATGTTCGCACACATATGACAGACGAGTCAGGACACATAATAACGATCGTTCTTTTCGTTGGTGGTTGAAATTCTTTCTGACATTCGTTCACGAATGAAAACAAACATTCCCGAATTCTTGCGAATGCTCAAAACAGCAACCACAATAACAACAAACGTTGGTGAACTCAATAGTTGTTGGACATGTGTTTTGTTATTCCCTACACTTTCTGCTACACACACATGCATTCGTTTTGTGTGTGTGTGTGTTTGTTTACTTTTTCATGATATGTTTGTTTGTTGTTGTTTTTAACAGTGCTCGCGAGCATTCGCGAACATTTGTTTTTTGAGTTTTTTAAAATAGTGTTCTTCAGCAACAAATGCTCACGAATAAACGAATCGACGACGCTTGCAGCGAATTTTTATCGTTCGTGAATTTTTCGTACAATAACGATAAAATAGTACGATGTGCAATCAATGGGTCAATCCGATAATCTATTCACTTCAAGTATAATTTTACTCGCACTTATTTAATTTCATCGATGCATTTTTGTGGTGATAATGCACTTCGAAAATTCCGAACAATTATAGAACAATAATCTTCAAAGTGGATATAGGGCGTATACTCGCCCCACACTCGAAAATTTAGCTTGAAGACGTAGACATCGAGGTTCGCTTTGGCTTTAAAAAATTAAATTTGATCGTCCATATTACAACAACGCTTAGAGTCTTTCTCAAAACGACGAGGGATGTTGGACAAGTCTGAGAATTGTTGATATCCCTTCATTTCTAACTTTACCTGTTATCACATAAAATTATGAAAAAATTGATTTAAATTTAAGTACTCATTTATAATTAAATTTTATATTAAACAAAATGAAGTGAAAATGTTGACAATGTATTTTGAGCAACAACAAAACAAAAATTGAATCTATCTGTAAGAACTAAATAACAATTTGCAAATTGTTAAAATGTAAAAAAACGAACATGTCTGCATTCACTTTACAATTTCAATTTGCGTACAGTCTTGTAACCTTCATCGGTGTATTGTTCTAGATCAACATATTTTGGTTCAGGACGTTGAGGTACGACCAAGTCTTCAATGCGTGGTGCAGGTGGGGTAATAATGTGTGGCTTCTCAGTAATTGGCTCCTCGGGGGGCAAGTAGGTGTTTTGAGGTGGGAGATAAGAGTTTTTGGGCGCTGGTGGTAAATAACTGTTCTTGGGTTTGGAAATGGTTTCAGGTTTAACGGGTGCAGGAGGAAGTTCAACAGTTCTGGATGGTTTAGGAGGGAGGTAGGTTTTCTTTGGAGCAGCAGGGGCGGCAGTTGTTGTTGGTGGAGGCAGATAGGTTTTCTTGGGAGTGACCGGTGCCAATGTTGTTGTGGGTGGTGGAAGATAGGTTTTCTTGGGAGCTGGGGCTGGTGTTGTTGATTGTGGTGGAAGGTAGGTTTTCTTGGGAGTAACGGGAGCTGCTGTTGTGGTAGGAGGAAGATAGGTTTTCTTGGGTGCAGTTGTTGGTGGAGGAAGGTAGGTTTTCTTGGGAGTAACGGGAGCTACTGTTGTTGTGACTGGTGGAAGATAGGTTTTCTTGGGAGTAACGGGAGCTGCTGTGGTTGTGGGTGGTTTCTCTTGGGTTTTGTGGTGCAGGAGGAATGTAAATTTCTTTGGGTGCAGGTGGAATATAGCTTTCCTTGGGCGCCATTACAGTCATAATGGGAGCAGCATTCATGGGTGGCAAATAATTGTTGTGGGGCATCATGGGTGCGGGAGCTGATTCCATGGGTGGCAAGTAATTAGCTTGAGGCTTAGGGGCGGGGGCTACTTCCATAGGTGGTAAATAATTATTATGGAGTTTAGGGGCGGAAACAGATTCCATGGGTGCCATGTAGCTATGTTGTTGTACATTTTCAATGGGAGCCATATAATTGCTATGGGATTGCATCATTGGTCCAGAAGGTACATATGAAGGCAAGGGAATAGAAATTTCAGGTTGAGGTTGTTGTTGCTGCTGCTGATGGTGTTCAACCATATGTTGTTGCATTTGAACAGGAGGCACGTACATATTCATGGGTACTTTAGGTAACACGAAATTGTTTGCAGGCAGCTGGATGGAAATGGATGGCACCACCGAAAATCTTGAATCCGGTTGAGGATAGCTATAACCCAAATGGGACACATCGGCTGTCACAGAGGCCACCAAAGCCACGGCAAAGAACAAGAAGGTATTCTGCAATTGAAAAAAGATATATATGTAGTCTATTTACAATGTGTGTATATATGTGTGCGTATAATTACCATCCTGTGATTGTTATCTCTTTGAGGTGTATGAGATGAATAATACCTATTTGCGGCATATGTTTGGTTTATATATTTTTTGTGAACTTCTTACAAGAGGTGTTTGATGATGGTGATGGGCTCACAATTTTCAATTACTACCATCTTATTGATGAATTGCTCCCCTTTTCCATAGCTAAATTACTTCCGAGATATGGAATGTGCCAGACCATCAAATCATTACCTATGTATTGGCATCTTTTAGCGGTTGACCCTGAACTTGATATCATTGCCAATTATTTCTGGCGTTTGCAAACAAATTGTTAAAGTGTGTGCTTTGTTGGCCAATATCTAATATCATTTTTGTTTTTATTTTTGGATTTTCAAATGGTAATGATATATCCCACATACCGCTGTGCTAGTAATGAATGGATACAATTTCATCAATGAACACGAAATGAAACCTCTTGCTGCTAGAAATAATGAATGTGGATTTTTACGCCAATTCCAACTGTTAACATTATTAATTGTCCATTTGTTTTCTGGTCGACGTAAATTGTGTGGGGTTGTGTGTTTTGTTTTTGCATCGCGTTAAAGAGCCCAGTTAAAGTTAATTAGGTTTCTTTATTTAATTGGCCACTACAATAAATGCGTGCCGTATGGAGTGCGGTTATTTTATGATTTTCAAATATATTTAAATTCGATCACGTCGTTTTAACACATGTTAGTCGTGAACGCGTGTTAAAAAAGTCAAAGTACTTTTGACATTTTTCGGAGATATATACCTGTCAGAGTGGCCATTTATTAGGTATAGCCCCCATGTCGGCCAAAATATTGAACCGAATTTACTGTAATATGGTGTGAGGGATTCCAAATCCCGATAGAGCTCTAATATAACAATACAGACCAATTGACACTATTTTTTTTAGGATTGTAGGCACACTTTTCTAGGAGACAATTATATACGCGTATTCGTGTAGATCACTTGTATAAAAGAAGGCGTGAACTTTAAAAAAAAATTTCTACGTGAAAACTCAAAAACTTCACTTTTTCTTTTTCTGAGGTTTTGATAGGAACATATTCAATAAGCGACAATACATCGATTTTATAAAAAAAGAATCGAAAAAAATCGAGCTAAAAGCTACAAAAGGTGCTGGACTTTGGTATAACGGGTTATGGGAGAAAAATATTTATGTTTAATATAGGTTTAAGTTTTGACCTACTATCAGGTTTTCAACATTCGTATGATACACATTCGTATGATACACACCTCATAATGAACCCTACGACTTTTCCACCCTACACCATAAGGTGGAGTGTATTTTTCATTCCTTTTGCAACACCTCGAAATATTCACCGGAGACCCCACAAAGTATATACATTCTTGATCAGAATAAAATTCTATGTCGATTTCCGCCTATCTCTCTGGCCGTCTGTTGAAATCACGATAGTGATCCTAATATCTACTAGGATGTTTGGTATTACATATGGCATATATCGATATTTGACATTTTGAGGATTTCGGACACGTATTTGTATTTTGGGTTATTATTTAATGATACGTATCCGTACCAGAAACTATTAATATTGACCCAAATTTCAGGGTAGCCCCCATATGACGGTAACCCCAATATTCGGTATGTTTTGGATTTTGGACACGTTTTCCAACCGAATTGGCTGTTTATACCCTACACAACTATGTTGTCAGGGTATTATAGCTTTGTGCAGCCCCAAAAGTTTGTAACGCCGCGAAATATTGGTCCTAGACCCACCTTTAAGTATACCGATCGTCATATCTCGACTAGCTGAGTCGATCTAGACATGTGTGTCCCTCCGTCCGTCCGTCTGTCCATTATAATTTGTAAACACGATACAGGCCACAGTTATTGTCCAATCTTCACGAATTTTTGCATGTAGGATGGGTTCTGGCCAATGAAGACCCCTATTGTTTTTTGGAAAGATCGGTTAATATCGTGAAATTTTGCATGGAGAAGGGGAACGGGCCAAAGAATAAGCATGCCTGGTTTGATAAAGATCGGTCAATATTTATTATGTATTCTATAGCGTATATATTTACCCCTGAAGGACATAGACCCGAGAAGTTGACCTTCAAACTAATACCAATTTTATTGTTGTATGTGCTCGGATGTGGGAGTTACAACTAAATATTTAAAGTTATCTCCGTATTCGTATATTATTTAGTAACCCATTATCACTCTAGAGAGCGGAACTATAGCGCTGATCGCTTTGATAGGTTCCATGAGGTTCCAGTTATGGTCAAGGACAACGCCTATAAATTTCAGTGATGATCAGATAATAATTTTGGAATGAAGTGGACCGAAAAATAAATTTTTTGTGTTATTTTCGAGTCGATCTATAGACCACAAATGAAAGCCGAACATCACAACACAACCCACGGTGAAAGGAATCGGACAATAGCTGTACTAACTACTCGAAATATTCGGAAAATATGTTAGTGTAAGGAAGAGGTGCTGCTTACCTCTAATCGGGCAAGAGGGTACAAATATCACGAAATATTGCCCAGGCTCGGAATAAACATCCGCAGAAAGTTCGGTTTCCGTGGTAGTTGTGTAGTGTATCGTATGGTCGGCCCCGTCCGACTATACTGCTCCGCTCACTTGTTTATTAGTCGATTTATAGGTCACTATTGAAAGCCGAACATCACAACACAACCCACTGTGAAGGGGATCTGGATATTAGTAATATTTGTAGACGTAGCTCAGAATATCGAACAATAGAAAAGTAGATTTTCGTGGAAGTTGTATAGAGTATCATAGGGTCGGCCCCGTCCGACTATACTGCTCCGCTCACTGTTTTTTTTGGGTATTTTGGTCTCTCATTGAATAATACATATCCTTATCAAAAATTATTAATATTGACCCAAGATTGAGTGTAGCCCTCATATAACGGTACACCCCAGTATACGGCATTCTAGGGATTTTGTGCACGTTTTTCCAGCGAATTGGCTTCAATTTGGTATTTTGAGTCTTTATAGAATAACACATGTTCCTACCAAAAATTATTATATTGTCCTAAGTTTCAGGGTAGCCAACATATAACGGTTCCCCCCCCCCCCTTTATTCCATGTTTTGAAGATTTTGGATACATTTTCCAACCAACTTGGCTGTAATTTTGCATTTTGGACCTATGTATAGGGATTTTTAAAACGTTTTTTAATCAAATTGGCTCTATTTTGGCATTTTGGGTTCTCATAAAAGAATCACTACTTCTCCGCATTATTAATATTGACCGAAGTCGCTAATTTGAGAATTGTTGGCACGTTTTTCAAACGAATTGACTGTTATTTGATATTTTATATTGTCATTGGCTGTCAAATCTAAATACCAAAAAATGTCAATATTGATCTCCGTTTTATTATAGCCACATACAACGGTAGCCCCAGTATTAGATATTTTGAGAATTTCAATTAATTTTACATTTGCTCAAAAAGCTAATGGCGATCTACGTTTATACAATCGCCAAATGTTACGAATCATGGATTTTAGTGTACGAGTCCGATACAAATCAGAAATTGTCCATTTGGGTCCTTGTAGACGAGTCATATCCAGCGAATGTTGAAAGAATCTCTACAAGCCAAATGGGCGCACGTTTCATCGACAAAATTTGTCATGTGGATTTTTGGAAATTCGAACTATAACTATCCGAAAAGTACGAAAATGTACAAAATGGTACAATTTCTTGAAATCGTGGGCTCATGTGTACGAAAAGTACTATATTTGGTGCAAATTTATTTTGGAGTACCAAAGCGAGCTGGAATCTTGAAATATGATATTAATATTACCGTCGGAGTGTAGGAATGGGAAATATACGTGGTTTTGAAAAAAATACTGATGTGTACGAAAAGTACTAAATCGTACTATAATTGGTATAATTTGGATTTGGTTGAACCGATAGAGCGGAAACAATGCAATTTGGAGTCTGGATCGCTGTAGGGATTGGGGTCAGGATTCAGTTTAAGCAATTTATATTCATGGGTACTAAATGGTACTAAATTTGGTACAATTTGAATTGTAGGCAAACCAATAGAGCTAGAATCATGAAATTTGGAGTCATGATCATGGAAGTCATGTCATCATGGGAGTCATATCGAGATATGTTGGATGTTTTGGAAATTGGTACTACTGAGTACTAAACTTGTTACAGTTTGAATTGTGGGCGAACCGATAGAATTGGAATCCTGAAACTTGGTTTTAAGATCACTGTGGGAGTGTAGGATTGGGGTATGTAGGAAGTACTGGAAATTCGTAATATTGTGTATTAAATTTGGTACAATTTGAATTGTGGATGGACCGATGAGTTGGAATCCTGAAACTTGGATTTATGAGCACTGTGGGGGTGAAGGTTTGGGTTAAGTAGGACGTTTTGGGAAATTCATACTACTGTGTACTAAATTTGGTACAATTTGAATTGTGAGTGAACCGATAGAGTTGGAATCCTGAAACTTGTATTTGGGATCACTGTGCAGGTGTAGAATTGGGGTATGTAGGATGTTTTGGAAATTGGTACTACTATGTACTAAATTTGGTACAATTTGGATTGTTGGAATCCTGATAGAGTTGGAATCCTGAAACTTGGAATTAGGATCACTGTGGGGGTGTAGGATTGGGATATGTAGAATGTTTTGGAAATTGGTACTGCGGTGTACTAAATTTGAAACAATTTGAATTTGGGTGAACCTGTAGAGCTGGAATCATGAAATTTAGTACAAAATGGTACTCAAATTTAATCTATGGTCGATATTAATGTGTGGATAGCTTACATTTTCTCACATATGCAGTTTTCTGTGAGAATAAAATAATATGTTAATACATGTTTAAATATATCAAACATTCGCTAACGAAGTAGCGGGTATATGCTAGTATCTTTATACAATTCTTTTAAAGTCTTTCAGTTTTACAAATATTTGCCACC